AATTGGTGACTAGAATGAAAAGTTTGGAAGCAAGGGAGAAGGGTCAGATGAGTTGAAATATGGCCTTGGTGACAGAAGAGAGACCCCAGGTCACTTAATAGAATAATGTACAATGAACGATCAAGATCTTCCATTGTGATCCTTGTCAGAGTGATCAACAGTGATAGGTGGGCACCTTCTCGTTCTTCTAGTCTCAGGTTTACTGTAGGCTGTGCTGCTATCGTCTTTTGAATTAATTGTGCTCTTGAGTCCAGTTTTCTTCACTCTTCTTTGCCCTTAACAGGAAGAGAGCAAGAGTTGTACCTTAGATCCTCACAAGGTTTTGAAACCTCAGTTGCTATTCACCAGGGAAGAAGGTAGAATAGTGTCTTCATACACTACGGTATGCAAATTCACCTAGATGTTTCCCAAGATTATGGTCCTAAGCTTTAGGACTCTTGTAGAGAAATAGGTATAAACCAGATAAGAATTTTTTAAAAGACTATGGCTAAAGACGAGGAACTAAGAATTATTAGTATGCTGAAGATAGTTGAAATCATGGAATTAGAGGCATTTACTAGAGGCATTTATTGCACAAAACCCAAGAATTTTGCTGAACAACACTGTTTAAACTGGGGTAAACGTGCATGACTGAACAATAGTGGACATAAATGCTGTATGCATAAACACATGCACACATGCACAGATACACACACATGTATATCCCTTCCAGTTTGTAAATTCCAGTGGCAGAAACAGAGATTTTAAATCTCAAATAGTAAAGCAAAGGGAGAGGGCCCTTTACTGATGTGCTTACAGCAACATTTTTCCCAGTATGACTGTTCTAAGAGTAAAAGGTTCTGTACAGGAATGTTTTTATCTTGCATATGCCCACAGTCTCAACATTATCATTTCCGTCTAATAATTGCATTGTGAAAAATACATTACCCTTGATCACCGTGTATATGAGAAGATTCTGTATTCCTTCCTCAAAATTAGGAAGTTCACAAAGTTAATTTCCCTATAATGACTCTTTACAGCCATTTTAGTTTCAGTGTCTTCTTAAGTAATTTTCAGAGACTGGTAGAATCACCAGGATTATGACTGTTTTGTTGTAATGGTGGTGGTGGTAATGGCGTGCCATCTAGTCAGAACCAACTCATAGCTAATCCTCCAGCTGATTTTTGAGGCAGTAAATTACACAGGAGGAGATTGCCAGTCTGTCTCCAGCAGAGCAGTTGGTGGATTTGAACCACATGCCTTATGGTTGACAGCACAACTTCTTACCACTAAGCTGCCAGAACTCCCTAGACACCCTTTGAACCTGGAACAAAACTCACCACCAGGACTCACCTTTAGCTTAACAATAGATAGGTCTACAGGGTAACCAACATCAGAGGAGGACTCAATCCTTAGCAGGGCCATCCATTTACAATAGATAAAGAGCAACATTTGCCCAAGGATAAAAGCGAGAATGCAAAAAGGTATAAAACAGATTGATGGAACAAAGAATTACAAGGAAGAAGTGGGGGGAATGTGATTACCTTGTAGGTATTGTAGTTAATGTCATGACAAAATGAAAAGCCAACCTGCTTTGTAAACTTTGACTTAAATCATGATAATAAAGAAGTGAAATTAATTAATATTTGCATATTAAAAGTAAAATTAATACTAGAAAAAATCTGACTCCTGTTAAGAGTCCTTCATGAGGCTCTAAGACATGTTCTTTTGTTTTTAATGGACGTCTGAATATTTTTTTATTTTGCTAATGATGTGTGTAAGTGTCAAGATAAATATATGCCCAATTGCAATTTCAACTGTTTTTTAAATGAATAATTCAGTTCCATTAATTGAAGTTTTGTGGCTTTCTGGTAAAGAATTATGCTGCTAAAGCAAAGTTACACGGTTTGAATCCACCAGCTTCTCTGTGAGAGAATGGCTAATCTCCTCCCATGCGATTTACTGCCTTTGAAAGCCTGCTGGAGGGTTAACTATGGATCAGGTCCAACTCTGGTCCACAACAATATTTAAACAAGGACATGAAATTATTTCTGATTGTTGTTGTTGTTGTTATGTGCCGTTGAGTCGTTTGCGACTCATAAACCCTGCTCTATCCTGTGCCAATCGCACTGCCTCTGACACACCCATCCCGATTACCCCAGTCACTGAATCAATCCACCTCATAGAGGGTCTTCCCCTCTACTCTACCCAGCTGTCCCTCTACTCTACCCAGCATGATGTCCCTCTCCAAAGACCTGTCTCTCCTTGCAACATGTCCAAAGTATGTCCGACGAAGCCCCAGAATCGTTGCCTCCAAGGAGTAGCCTGGTTTAACCCTCTCTAGGATGAATCTGTTTGTTTTCTTGGCAGTCCATGGTACATTCAATACTCTTCTCCAGCACCACAGCTCAAAGGCATCAGTTCTCCTTCTGTCCTCCCTAGTCATTTCTGATAGTATTCCTAATAAAGACAGTATCAATTGTGAGGATGGCATAGGAATGGGCAGCATGTCCTTCTATTATCCATAAGGTCACTGTCATTCAGAACCAGCTAGATGGCACCTAACAACCCCATGTGCTTAGAACTCAAAGCTGTATATGATAAAATTATAACTGAAAAAAATTACTTAAGTAAAGGCTAATAAAATTACTTGTATAACCAGAAGGTCAGGGTTTGAAGCTAGATCCCAAAACTCCGATTATGCCATCAAGATCTTGTCTTTCTCTCGGTTCTTTTTATTTTTGGGTTCACTTTATTCTATAGATAAATGTGCTCCATGTGCCAAGTTGCCAGAAGCCCCTAAACTTACATACCTCTTCATTTTGGTGTCCCTAATAGAAAAAGCTTATTTATATGGCATATAAAACCAAGTGTTCTGGGATTCCCATTCTTCTCAGAATTAGCTACAGTTTGTTGTGATCCACACAGTCAAATGCCTTCCCATAGTCAATGAAACACAGATAGACATTCCTCTGGTACTTTTACTTTCAGCCTAGATACATCTAACATTAGCTATAATATTCCTAGTACACGGTCTCTTCTAAACCCAGCCTGCACATTTGTCAGTTCTCTGTTGATGTGCTGTTCCAGTCATTTTTGGGTAGTTTTCAGCATAATCTTGGACCAGGAGACAGTCTTCAGAACAAAGCAAGGAAACACTATGTGATTCAAAATTGGAAAGGGATGTGTCCTGTCCCCATACCTTTCCAATCTATATGCAGAACAGATCATCCAGGAGGCTGGGCTCTGTGAGGAGGAATATGGCATCAGGAGTGGAGGAAGACTCATCAGAAACCTGTGTTATGCAGGTGACACACTCTTGCTTGCTGAAACTGAAGAGGACCTGAAGCGCTTACTACAAAAGGTCGGGGACTGCAAACATCAATATAGATTGAAGCTCAACATGAAGAAAACAAAGATTCTTACCACTGGGGCCATTGGCAGCATCATGATAGATGGTCAAGAAATTTAGATTGTTAACAGCTTCAGTTGCTTGACTCCATAATCAACAGTATTGGTATCAGCAGCCAGGAAATCCAGAGTACTGAAGAACAACAATATCAGTCTGGAGACAAAGGTGCACCTGATCCAGGCCATGGTCCTCACAGTTATATGCTATGCATCAGAAAGCTAGACATGACAGAAGGAAAATTGATGCCTTTGAGCTGTGGTGAGGGAGAAGAATATTGAATATACCATGGAGTACTAGGAGAACAAACAGGTTTATTCTAGAGAGGGAGATTAGGCTCCTCCTTGGAGGCAAGGATTCTAACACTTCATCTGACATACTTTAGGAGGAACCAGCCCTTGGAGAGGGATATCATGCTTAGGATGATGGAGGGACAGCGCAAAAGAGGAAGACCCTCAATGACATGGATGGACTCAGTGACTGGGGTAAAAGGGGTAGGTGTGTCAGAGACCATAGTGTTGGCTTAGTATAGAGCAGGGTTCAGAGCTGTTGTACAGAGTCGCTATGAGTCACAAGCAACTCAACAGCACATAACAACAACAACAGCAGTAGCATGGCATATACAAAGAAGATGCCATGGTTGAGAAGATGCCGGTTGATTTTCCTTAAGTCAGGTACCCGTCCCCTCTGAACCTACCAAAATGACCGGAGCTGTGAGTTTACATCTGTTGGTTTTTAGAAGTTTCATGTTCACACCTTATCTTTTCATACATGTAGGTACAGTAACACTGCATCAGTATAAAATGTCTAAACAAAGGCTGACTTATCTGTAATGTTATTTTTATACTTAAGATATTTTCAGTGATTGCTGTTTTGTGAACTAATAAAACATCTGCTGTCTGTTTAGGTTTATGAACAGCAATAAGTAACTAATGGACATAAAAATTGTATCTCTCAGGATTGTTGTTTTTGTAGACCATAGAGTCAAAACCAACCTCTAGCCTACCCTTTACTGGATTTCAGAGGCAGTTAATTGCACCAGAGGAAATTATCCATCGAATTTCAGGATTAATACTCTTCATAACAGAAGTTGCATTCACACTGCTTGTTATTCTCTTAATGGGGATGTAATTTTTAAAACTAATAAACCTACAGTTGGTATTAGAAGTATAAATTGTGACAAGGTTGTATCTGGGTAACATCATCTTATCTTGCGAATCCCTTCCTTCTGGTGAGTTTGCCTCTCAAGTTCTTTAAACAAAACTGTGGTAAAGTGGGAGAAAAATTGCCATGATAAGTACATAAAGGCCATAATAAATCATTTCAGATATTGTCAGTCTCTTTAGACCAGGGATAAGAATGATCAGAGAATCATTTTCATTCATCTTTCTTAGAAAATAGCATCAAAAGAGAGAAGAGAAAAATAATTGCATCACCGAAATAGCTGGCTATTCAGGACAAAATCTAAGGAAATGGTTCACTTGAGATGCTTTACTCCAAACCTGTGTTGTATTTGCTTGTTGGAGGGAGGGAGTCCAGGCCTGTGTTTGCTAAGATTTATCCCTAGAGGTGATTCAATGCAGTAACACCTGTGTTTCTCCCCAATATCTAGCTACGTGGTGAACATAGGTCTGATCGACAAGCTGTGCAGCTGCTTCCTGTCAGTGCAAGGCCCGGTAGATGAAAATCCCAAGATGGCCACCTTCCTGCAGCATGCCGCGGGACTCTTACATGGCATGTGCACGCTGTGCTTTGCTGTCACTGGAAGGTAAGGCCTACTGTTCAGTCTCAACCTAAACCCAACTTTGGAAACATCACTTGAATTTTCTTGTCTTGGATTCTGTACACAGGGACACAAGTAATCGCCTCTTAGACCCCTTTGCCTCTTGGTTCTTGTTCTCCTCCATTAGCTTTCTGTCTTAAGACTTGTCTTACGTGTCTCTTTTTCCTGGCTATCTGCTCCTGCCAGCAGATTTTCTGTTTTTCTCATTGGTGTCATAAACTTGACTGTCATTACTAGAAGAAGCCCTCGAGGCTATGCAGTTCTTCCATCAAGGTCCAGATGAGTCAAGTGATTCTTGAGTCAGAGAGTTAGTGACAAAGCCTAGACTGGATGAAGCTAGGCTCCTCATAATGTCACTGCACAGACTCCCCTCACCTACAGCTATTGTTCACATAGTTTCAATTAACCATCTCCTAGGTTTATTTTTACCCCCCTTCACCTTCCTTCAAAGATACCCCCTTGAACAAAGTAAGAGAAAAGCCATGCAAAACCAGTAGTTCCCAAAAGCCACACATCACCATCACTCCTGGGCATGTCCATGCCCAATATGCCAGGGCTAACTGGTATAGTTGACCTGTTAGTCCGCTCACTACACCCTTAAAAACATTTATTCTCTAAGAGCAGGGAAGGCCCCATTTGTGTTGTTGCTAGGTGCCATTGAGTTGACTCTAATCATAGACACCCTGTGTCCTTGCCTGTCAAATGAAAAATCCTTATGATACCATTTCAGTGTCTCTGACAGGAATAAGGCATATCCCTCAGGCATGTTGAAGTAAAATATTCAGTAAAATACTTTTCTTAAAATAAAATTAATTCCAATTAACAATGTATGTTTAGGAACTTATCAAGGGGAAAACTAATTCTTGAGTCGGTTGACCATATGATATATTATTCTGGAGATGAAAAGGTGAGGGAAAATGGAGTTGGTTTCATAGTTAAAAAAGTCATTGCTAGATCCATCTTGAAGTACAATATTGTCAGTGACAGGAT